GGCGCAGCGGCCTCCCGGGACTGGGAAAGGGGCTGGAGCAAAAATGTTTCTTATTCCAGCGTCTTCCTGCCTGGCCCCGCTCCACCACTCCCTCCTAATAAACCGTTTCCTTATTGCCCAGCTAGCCGACAAGCGTCCGCTAGCCCCTCTCTGGGCCCGCGGGGCCGGGCCCTCCCCCGCGCGGGTCCCAAACCCCAGGGCAGCTGCCCGATCTGGCTGCCCGCAGCTCTGGGGCCCGCAGCCCGCACCCCGGCCCCAGCCTCCCACATCCGCCTCCCCCGAGGGGGCGGGCCTTGGAGTCATGCCGCGGGGGTCCCGTGGGGTCCAGCCGGACCGTGGGACTCAGAGCAGAGGCCGGAGGCCTCATCGGCCGGGACAGGGAGGGCGGGTGGGAGGGCCTGAGGGGCGGGGTAAAGCGGCGGGAAGTTACCTGTCCTTCCTCCAGCCTCCACCCCAGGGCTGCCTGGGCTGAGTTTGGGGCTGGCAGGGTCTGGTTGGCTCCGCCTTTCCGCCCCCGACCATAGGGCTCTGCCACTTGGGCCCAAATCCTTCAGCTTCTCCCCTCTGGCCCCGGGGTCCCCTCCTGCCCCTCCCTACCCTCTCCCTCGCCTGGCTCAGCGGAGCTGGTAAACAGGCCCAGATGGGGCAGGTCTGCTGAGCTCGGCCTGAGCCCCTTGGGCCTCCCACCGCTGACTAGGAAGCTGCCGCCCCACGCCCCAGCTAGGGCAGCGACGACGACGGGGGGGGGGGGCGCGGTGGGCTTTGCGGCTGTGTCCTTTGAGGGAGACCCTGCATCGGTCCAGTAGAGCTTTGACATGGGCGCAGCCTCCAGAAAGACACTGGGCGCCTTGGGGAGGGGGCCAGAGTGGCCTCTTTCCCCGGAGGACCAAACCTTGCTTCTGAGCTCTGAGGTCACTGGGGCCCCCCAGCCAGGGGTTGGGTTTCTGCCTTAGCGCCTGCTTATCCCCTGACTCTGAAATCTGGAAATCCAGACTAGGTGCTTCACCCTAGACAGTGCCTCTCCAGGGTCCCCGTCTGCTGGGTGGGCTGATCACCAGCCGTAGCCTCAGAGGGCTGTGAGAATGAAGCTGTGATCTCAGCTCAGAGCACTGGCCTACGGACCCTGTCACGCAAGGTAGGCCCTGCACCCGAGTGTTTAGTTCATCAGCAAAAAGGCTGAGTAGAGCGATGGGTCCGAGCCTCCTCGGCATCCTGCTGTAACACAGGGGTTCTGAAGATGGGCCAGGACCTCCCTCCCCCCACCCTTTGAGAGGCCTCAAGGCTGGGGAAGACAATGACCAAAGACTCCAACAGGCATCAATTGTCGCAGGACCTCACTTCCTCTGTTGAAATCCTCCCACTCTTCACCCCACAGCTGCTTCACAACTTGTGAATTCCAGAACCCAGGCACACCCAAATTTCAGTGTCAGGACAGAACCGTGTCCCCAGCCAATAGGAAGTACTATGGGATCATACTATCTGCTCTTTCAGATTATAGCGGCCACTTCGCCACTCTATTAGCCGGAGCGATGGGAGTGTGGCCGGTGTCCATCCTTCACCCCCAGCCTCCCCCTGCCCTGCTCTGCCCTGATAACCCGCTCCAAACCCCAGCCCACGGGTCTCTGTGCCAGGAGGTGGAAGCGGGGCTTCCCCTGGGGCAGCCCGTAGCCTGAGGCATTCGCTGAAAACAGAAACATAAATTGGACAAGAGTTGAGAGTCCCTGATGATGCAGGATGGAGGGATGGGGGGTGGGGGTTGTGCTTTATCTTTGAAGCTTCATGAAACAGATATAGAGGGGGACTTGGGTGGAGGAAGACAGGGCCTGAGTGGCTCGGCTGTTCTTCAGTGAGGGCGTCTCCCCCGCCTGCAGGAGCACGGAGCCCTCTGGACCCTGACTGAGCCTGGTGGGCTCCTTCTGGATCCCATGCCTTCCCAGCACTGGGAGAACCTCGAGGAGGCATCTGAGGAGAAGGCGCTGGAGTCTGGGCCCCGTGCGGAAGGGGCAGAGGCAAGCCAGACTGTGTCCAAGTCAACAAGAATGAATTACTCAGAGGAACCAGCTGTTCCCCATAATCAGTGAAGACAGAGCAAGAGGAGGCAGGCCCGAAGGACTGAGATTTAGGCTTGATATCCAGGAGAAATTTCCCATCAGAGTGTGAAGCAGGAGACGCGGCCCCCAGAGGGGCGTATGGGCGAAACTGCAAAGCGTCCTCGCCTGTGGAAGGCAGGTGATGGACGCCAAGCATGAGGCAGGTGAACGGGCCACCTGACCTGTTAGAACCAGCTCTCAGTGCGTTTAGAACCACCCCTGTCATCAGGCAGGGCCAGGGGCCTGGGTCAACACGCAGTCTTGGGGCTCAACACGCAGTTAGGCAGGTCAACACGCAGTCTTGGGGCTCTGTTGTCACCATCTTGAAGTTGGAGATCATGTTCGAACAAAGGGCGCAGCGCAGTGTTTTCTTTTTGCTCTGGGCCCCTCAAACCATGTAGCTGGTTCTGCAGCAGGAGGAATAAGGAAAAGGCTTTGCTTCACTTGAACTGCAGTGTGGAGAGATGAAGACCAGGCCCAGTGAAGATGTGGAGACAGCAGAACAGGGTGACTGACTGAGGACGGACGGGGCAGCCCCATCAGGCCCCTCTATCCACCTGTTCAGCACGGTGGAGTCTCAGCCTGGGTTTCGCCTAGCGGAGGCAGAGAGCTACCTGCTGGTCTCCTGCCACGTAGGGAGCGCACCTGGTGTCCTGAAACAGCAGTCAACTGAGGACTGTGGGCGATGGTTCCAGGCCTGGAACTCCTCTGGGCCCCGGCTTTCTCCTCTGTCTCCCAAGGGGCTCCAGCCAGTGTTCCTATAGGTCCTTGCCAGACTCAGGAAACCGGCTGGTCCCCAGCTTGGTCTCCACAATTCAGGTGGAAAGCGGCTGGCTGCGGTGAAGGTTTAGGGCTGCGGAATGTGGTGCTCCACCCAGCACCTCAGGAAGAAGCTGGCAGATGAGGTCAGGCTCTGAGCCACCGGGCCCCCCTGCAGCTTGTCCAGGACTTCTCTAGTGGGTCATCCCTTCCTCCCCAGCCCAAGCCCTGGGGATGACTCATCCCAGGATGGCCGCCCTTGAGGAAGGGAGGGCGTGTCAGGGCGAGTCTGCCATGCCCAGTGCCACATACCATGGATGGGGGAGACCCCACTGCTCCACACGGCCGCCACTCCCTCAGCGGGCAGTCGGCCACCCCCACTGTCCTCCCACACACCTCCTGGAGCACCCACCCTCCCCCACCAAACTGCCACCCCCCCCCCCGCAGTGGGACCGTTGGTGAGTCTCATCTACCATGCCCACGAGAAGGGGCTGTACCACCTTCTCCTAGAACAAATCAACCAGCTGAAGAGCCCAGGAGAGCTGGCTTGTTCTAGGGAGGCTGTGCTGTTGGGTGGGAAACGGAGCAGCATTCGGGAGCTGGGAGTGGGGTGCTGGGCTGGGGGGCAGGGGGCTCTATGTTGTCACCTGCTCAAAAGTGAGCGCCAAGGGCCTCCCTCGTGGCATGGGGTTAAGTCTCAGCACCTTCAAGCTCTCCGCAGCCTCTGCAGCACAGTTCGATCCCGGCCAGGGAGGGAGGGACCCCCAGGGCGCAGCAGACCTCTCCAGTCTCCCGCTGCTCCTCTCGGAGCATGTTCCAGTTGATCTGCTTGTTCTGCTCCCCACTCCGTCTCTGGTGACTCCTCTCGCCCCCTGCACTTCTGGCCTACACCCCGATTCTTGTGTGCATAAATAAAATCTTAAACAAAACCGTGAATACAAATGTTATCTTTTCTGATTGCTGCCGAGTGGAGTCAGACAGACGAATGAACAGAATTGCAGAGGACTTTGAAGCAGAGACAACCCTTCTGAAAAAAATTAAATCTCCGATAAGCCCAGGGGAAGGTGATTGCCTGAGGTAGGAAAGGCTCAGTGGGCGGGTTCATGAGGAGCAGCAGCAGCCCCGTCTCTGGCCCTTGTCTGGCTCCTCTGTTCTCTCCTCCAAGTCCCCTCACTCCTTTCTCAGGCATTTACTTTGATGACTCTAAGTAATGTGCAGACGTGTTTCGCTCCACTTTTTCTTCCTTCAGGTTTCTTGAGGTGTAACTGGCCCATTCAACCGCAAGTGACTTGAGTGTACAGGGTGACGACGGGGTGGCCGCATGCCATGTGGAAGGGCCCCCCAGCCAGTGACTGACCTCACCCCTCCCCTCACTGCCGTTAACACACTTACGTTCTACTTTCTGGGCAAAGTTCAGTTCTCGAGTGTCTCATCAGCTGCGGTCACCCTGATGTGGCCAGATGCTCACACCCTGTCCACCCCATAGCCCAAGGTTTGCGTGGTTTTCTCAGCCTCTTCTTCTCCCCAGCCCCCAACAGCCACTTCTCGCTTGCACTGTCTGTGAGGGAAGACTTTTCTGAGATCCCGCGTGTCACTGACACAGTTTTTGCCTTTCTGTTATCGCTAGCTTTAAAAGCTTCAGGCACTCAGAGAGAAAAGGAAAAATACCGGATGGTTTCTCTCATAGCAGGAGCATAAAGGGCCAGGGGAGAAAATAATAATAATAATGACCAGCTATAGACCAGAGACATTTTACGGGGGTGGAGTGGGGAACGGGATCAAAAACGGGGGGGGGGGAGGGAAATGCACTGAACTGTGGTGATGGCACACGGGTGATTTGGTGATGGGAAGCCCAAGAGGATTGCAACTGAGATGGAAAAAGGAACAAACTGAATGAATGAATGAATAAATGTAAGAATGTTTTACACATGAATGAATGAAAAAATGTAAGGATGTTTTACACATGAAAAAAAAGCTTCAGGCATTACTTAAAAG